TTAAGTTCAGGTTCAGTTCAGGTTCATAAATTCAAAGTTCAGTTCAGGTTCAGGTTCAAAGATCTGCAAAATTTGTGATTCAGGTTCAGGTTCAGTTCAGGTTCATTGAACCTAAATTTGAACTGAACTGAACCTAGGAACCCTAACCCTAACTCTCTAACCCTAACTTAATTCTCATTCTAATTCTAAACCAATGAATTAATTTATTGTTTTAATTTCATGTTACACCAGATCTTATGAGGTGCATTACAATGCAAGTGCAGTAAAATATAAAAATCTTAATAAAATTTTTTAAAAAAAATTTTTTTAAACTATTATTTTTGTAATTTTTTACTATATTACTAGTAATACACTATTAAAAATAAGTCAAAAAACAAAATTATTAATAAATTTTACAAATTTAAAGTTTAGTTATATAAAAAATTTTAAAATTTTATTATATATTAAGAGAGCTAACAAAAAAAAACTCATATATTTTCCACTCTTTTATCATCTTTCTATATTCTCTCTCTACCACTTTATATATTTTTTACCTCTCATACCTTCTCTTTACTCTTTTTTTGCCTCTTTTATCTCCAAGAAGAGGTAAAAAAAAAAGACAAAAGATAACACCTGTTATTTAGAAGTAGTTCTTATATAACAGGTTTAAAGTTTATCACTCACTATGAGATCAACACTTGTTATTTAGAAGTAGTTCTCATATGCTACCTGCTAACAAGTTTAGAGTTTATCATCTACTGATTAAAAAGCTAGCAGTATGCATAGCTCTGTTTCTTTTGTTATTTTTACAAAAAAAATATACTTTCTTTTAAGAAGGAAACAAGATCTATTCTTCTTACTATTATCTACTTATATTTCTACTAAAGTTTTTTTTAAAAAAGTGGACATATAAGTGGGGTTAAATAATTTCATTTTAAATCCGATTTAATTTTGATCCGTAACAGTATGTCTGTTTTAGATAGAATTTTTTGTATAATTTTTTTTTTCGTTAAATGGCCGCATAAATCGCATAAATTGTCGCATAATTCTAGAAATTTTATCGCAGAATTTGGGGTCAGTCGCAGCAGATAGTCGGTGACCCTAGTTCCGACAATCAATCGGGTGCATGATACTATCGTGTAACATTAACAAATAAAGCCATCATCCAGTCAAATTGATTTTCTTTGACTGTTTCGTAAAAATGCCAAAAGGAAAAAAACAAATTCAAAAAAATCCAATGTTAGGAAGTTTTCCACCTCCAAACCTTTCATTAACAAACATGGAAGATGATCCTCCGGATTTTGATTTGCCTGAGGTTCCGCCTTTCACTAAAATTGCTACTGACGATAGTGCTTATAAAACGTATGCTGAAAAAAATTATTTCGCAAAATATTTTTGATCAAATTCATCTGTTTTAAATGGTTTATACCTTATTTATAAAGTTGGGTATGTCTGTACCCTGTTTATTTTGATTCAACAAAATCACATCAAGAAGGAAGAAGAGTTGTAAGAGAACTCGCGGTACCGAATCCATTAGCAAAAGATCTCGCTGAATCTATAAAAATTTTGGGGTTATCCTGTGTCTTTGAAGTATAATTCAATTTCATTAAATTCAAGTTGTTTATTCATAATTCTTTAATTTCTTTATTATTCTTGGATTGCGTATATGCATATATTGTTTATTAAAAGCCACATAAAACGCATCCCAGAAATTGGGTTAACCCTGGAAGGGTACGAGTACAATTATTTAATGAACAGAAAATTCCATTAAATAATAATATTCCGACACGTAAGTTTCAATTGATATGTTTTTAATCATTAATAATACTTTACTGAGATTCTTTGGAAAAAAAAAGGGAAAGTGTTGATTAAACAAGTAGCACCGGTATTGTCAGAAGTTCAAAAAAATAATCCGCAACAATTTCCGCCTAGTCATTCTCCAGCAGTATCTAGAGGTATATTGAAAGATGGAAAGAGTAACGATTCTGGATCTACGGCTAGTTCTTCAACTTCAGTAACAGGACAAGCTGCTTCAGGAAGTGGATCAAATACTTCAACTGCTTCACCTTCGAAAAAGAAGGGAAGAAAGGGTCGAAAATGATAGGTAAATCTTTCATACACATAGTACATCGTTGAGACAAAATCAGCATTAAAACTGACTGTACGAACTTGTCTTATATTACATATTAATATAATAAATATCGGACATGTAAATATTTGAACTTGTTTCTGAACAAATCGAAAATCTACATATTAGTAATATGTATTAAAAAAGAAAACTATGTAAAAACACAAATATTATGACAAACATGTCAATAACTAGTATTAATTATAACTTAATTTAAATGAGGAGTATCATATAATCTATCTCCGGCATCGCCTACACAAATAATTGGGTGTTAATCAATTTATAATTTTTCGAACATATTCACTTATTACATAGTGAAGAGAAATAATAGATAACACACCTAGGCCAGGTACAACGTAACTTTGATTTATATAAAAAAAAAGAATTAATATTGATTTCAAATGTGGATTATAAAATTTAGAATTTTAAATTACCCGTGGTCATCTAAGACATCATCAATTACACCAACAAAAACTTCAACATCTGGATGGTGTTTCATTAAATAATCAAGACCCTGTAACAAAAGTAAAATAAAAAGTAAATTAACAAAATATTTATGAATAAATACAATTATTTTAGTAAATTACCTGACGTGATGCACATATTGTAATAAGTTTGATTTTTGATTTAATACCCCATTCTTTAAGAATACTGGCTGCGGCAACAGCAGTTCCTCCTGTAGCTATCATTGGTTCTAAAACTAAAATCTGTTCAACATTGGGTTCTGCAGGCAGCTTATTATAATATTCTACGGGTTGAAGTGATATCTATACGTAGAAAATAAGATCAAATCGTGTTTTTAAGATGCTTTTCATATGATTGAACATTACCCTTTCCCTGAAAATCCCGAGATGCAAGACTCTAGCTGTTGGAATCATGTCCTGAAGAACTATTTTCAATAATATTATATGGAATCAATTAATTTTGACATAATAAAAAATGAAATTTAAACCGTAAATGGATAATTCTAACCATCAACAAAAATAAGACCTGCTCTCAAGATAGGTACTAGTCCGACTGTAGTGGCTAATTCAGTTCCAGCATAAGGTGCTAAAGGACTTTCCAACTGTGGAAATATGTTTTGTGTAAAAAAAATATGATAGGTTCTTAATTATTTCGCAAATTTTGAGGTGAGACTTGAACTTGCAGTATTCCAATAGAATGCATAAAAACAACGATAAATTACTTACGGTACTCGTAGACTTTGTAGGTAAATCGGCAGTAGCTTCATACCCAAGAAGTTGCCCAATTTCGCGCATAAGCTCACGAACTTGCTTTGGCTTAGTGTTTTTATTACGAAGAATTGAAATTTTGTGAGCGACAAGAGGGTGTGAAGAAACTCGTATACTGGACATTTTCGCAGAATTTATACTTCAGTTATCTTTACGAGAGACTCTAACGTTACGAACTATATAGCAGATATCATCATTTAAATTAAGTTATAATTAATACTAGTTATTGACATGTTTGTCATAATATTTGTGTTT